CTGTTGGAATAATTGAGTCGCAAGCGGCTACTCTCTACGATGAGGCGTTGACAACGTACCGTCTGGAGCTGCTTGAATATGCTAGCCCGCTGTTCAAAAAAGTGGGAGAGACGCCCCTGCCTCCATTGCGAGCTATTAATCACCCTATTCCGTTAGTAGATACAGAGAAAATCTACCCTTGGCGGCCGTCTCGGTGCCCGGAGATGTTTCGAGAGCAATGGAATGCTAAGCGAAAGGCTTATGTGGAAACAGGTTGCTGGAAAATAACAACGGCCACGAACACTGTCCCTATGCTGCTGATTCGTAAACCTGGGACGACTGCCTTACGGACGGTGGTGGATCTTCGGGCTCGAAATGCCAATACGAAGAAGATGGCGTCTCCATTGCCAGATATCGACGGAATCTTACGTCGTGTCGCATGTGCGAAATATTTTTCATTAATGGATAGTAGCGATGCCTATGAACAAGTGCGTATTTTTCCGGAGCACGTGTCCCGTACAGCCGTATCCACGCCTGATGGTAACATGCTGAGTCTCGTTATGCAACAAGGGGATTGTAACGCACCAGCGACGTTTCAAGCGATTATGAATCACATATTTTCCCCGTACATCGCACGGTTCATGGATGTTTACCTGGACGACCTCATCGTATACTCGACCACGCTGGAAGACCACATGAAACATGTGAAGCTTATTATTGATATCCTTAGTAAGGAGAAATTTTACCTAGGCGAAAACAAGGTCCATTTCCTTGCTAAGGAACTGAAGGTTCTGGGCCGGATAGTCGACCATCACGGCATTAGGATGGATCCGGATAAGGTTGATGCGATTGTGAAGTGGCCGACTCCGACCAACAAGGAGCTGTTAATGGGTTTCCTGGGATCTCTGGGTTATCTAGCGGACGATATAGCGAGGGTATGAATCCCTATGGGTCACTTGAGTTCTTTGACAGGGTCGACGGTACCTTTCCGTTGGACGTACATGGAACAGCGTGCGTTCGAGGCCTGCAAGGAGCTTGCGAGCAGCTGCCGTGATCATCACCGTGTGCCTCTTAATTATGCGAAGGATTCACCCCCCGTGTGGCTCGTAACTGATGGCTGTGTGACGGGTGTGGCCGGTGCAGTCCTACAGGGTGTGGATTGGAATAAGTCCAAGGTCGCGGCATTTTATTCCGCGAAGCTCACCTCAGCCCAGCGCAACTACCCGGTTCATGAGATTGAGATGTTGGCTGGAGTGGAGTCGATGCTCCGACATAGGGATATCCTTCAGGGTGTTACGTTCAAGTGGGTGACTGATCACAAGGGTTTGATTCACCTTGCACAACAAAGGAACCTGTCTGGCCGGCAAGCTCGTTGGCTGGAAAAGATGGCAGAATTTGACTTTGAAATTGTGTACGTCCCTGGGACGGAGAATGTTCTCGTGGATGCTCTGTCCCGCATCTGGTCGAACGAAGCACCTGGCACTGTTCGGGGAAGGGGTGCCTACACCTATCACGATGTCGTCGACAACGACACGCTGGATTCCTTCGGGATATCCATGCCCCTGTTGGTTGGGACGGAGGCTTCCTGCTTGGATACGGACGACGTGTGGCTCGTCGACGCTAACACTATGTCGCTTCGGGTGGACAGAAGGCAGTCCGCTCGGGCTCTGGGGTTGGACAACGACATTGTTCCGGGTAAAACACTTTCCGCGTCCCCTGGACGTCGGAAGGAGGGTGGGAATGGTGGCAAACCAAAGACTAAGAACACAGAGCACGTAAACAGACATGTCGACAACCCAAAAACAGCGCCCACGGAGGCTATTCCAATTCCCCATGGGGATGCACAGCCACACGTACCAATTGAAGTTGACAATATTCCCTCGACGAATGAAAACCCTCCACCTACACTGATGAATGTCTTGAGTGAAGGGCGTGCTGGCATTGATCTTTCCTTGGTTTTGAAGGACAAGTACTCGGTAGACCCCTTGTTCAGAAAGGTATTAGCACAACCTAAAGATTTCAGGAACTTTGACATCGAAAATGGACTTATATTCCTCAAACTACAGGACCGAAAACTATTGTGCTTACCGGATTATGTCCACTACGGACATAGTATCAAGGAAATTGTAATTGATGAAGCCCATTCGCTGCTAGCCCATCTCGGCGCACGAAAGACACTGGCTTATCTCCGTGATCATGTTTGGTGGAAAACGATGTCCAAGGATGTCGAATCTTTCTGCAATACTTGCATAACTTGTAAGCGAACTAAGAGCAATACTCAGAAACCGTACGGCTTACTACGACCATTGGGACCACCCTCGTATCCTTGGGAGGTAATCGGCATCGACTTTATGGATTTCTTGCCCGAATCTCGAAATCGCGACGGCGTGTTTGATATGCTAACAGTGATTGTCGACCACTTAACTGGAATGGTGCATCTAGTCCCTGGACGAATGAATTATAAAGCTAAGGATGTTGCTGAACTTGTATTTGAAGAGGTATACAAATTACATGGCCTACCGAAAGCTATAGTAAGTGATCGAGATTCTTTGTTCACTAGCATCTTTTGGATGCATTTGAACTCGTTGATTGGCACAAAGCTGAAGATGTCAAGCGCGTATCACCCAGAAACGGACGGGCTCACTGAACGATCCAATAGAACGGTAGGCGCAATGCTGTGGCAGTGCATATCAACCGATCAGAAGGATTGGGTGGCTAAATTACCGGCTATCGAGTTTGCTATCAATTCCGCCCGTAACAAGACAACAGGATACGCACCCTTCTTCCTGAACACCGGAAGGATGCCACGAACAATGATCTGGGACAACCCAGATACATCCAAATATCCGGGTGTCCGAGTATTCGCCCAGCGATTAAAGCTGGCCATTATCGCGGCTCATGATTCTATCCTAGATGCCAGGGTGAAACAGGTCCGAGATGCCAATCGAAAACGACGCACTGTTCCATTCTCGGAAAGGGACTTGGTATATCTCTCTACAAAAAATATATCTTTCCCGAAGGGATTAGCAAGGAAGATGGTACCTAAATATATGGGTCCTTACCGTGTTTTGAAGGATTTTGGGAATGGTTCATTCCAACTCGGTATACCAGCAAACCTAAAAAGCCGTGGTATTCACGACGTATTCCATGCTTCTCTATTGCGAATTCACGTCCCTAACGATGATCGACTATTTCCTGGTCGATCAGGGAACCAGATAATGAACCTCAAAGACCCGAGTGGCGAATGGGCTGTAGACCAGATTGTCAGTCACTCAGGATCTAAGACAGAGGCGTTATTCAAGGTTAAGTGGAAATCGGGGGATGTTACCTGGCTTCCATATGAGAAAGTTGACCACTTGGATGCATTAGGAGAATATTTCGATGCACTTGGGATAACGGATGTTTCAAGTTTGAAGGATGGCCGAGCCACAATTGAAGACGAACATTCTGACGTAGGAGAAATACGGATGAACGCTCTTTTGGCAATCCCATCAGGAGAAGTAGAGATAAGCAAGGGCTTAAGAGGACTTACCAACGACGAACAGATAACCAGACTCCTCTCTTACTGCCCATATTGCTACTCCCAGCTGCCCCTGCATCATCGTGATCCCATGGCTTCTTCCACTACTACTCCCACCGTGGCTCCCGCTGCTAACCTCCCTGCTTCCATGACCAGTGGACAGGTATTCCTCAAGTTCTTCACAAAACTTGGTGGACCATACTGGAAGGTAACCCTCCCGGAAACCGGCGACGCCTTCTTGGTCCAGGACGCGGACATCACATTTGCGATTCAGTTCGACAAGAGGGTACGCAGCAGCAAGTTCGATCTTGAACACGATGCCATGCCGTTCAGCTACAGTCTCGTATCTGCAGCTTATAATTGGCAGGAGTACCCCTGTCGATTCGCTATCGTTCCCACTACTCGCGTCAGCAGCGAGGCGTCGACCGAGGGACATTCCCCCTTGCTCGCCCACTTCTTCGGCAACAATCCCCCTTCTGTCGCTGGCCCGACTTCGTCTACGTCTACGCCCTCTGCTAACATCGAGAGTATCCGCGTAGCTACCGCTTTCGTCCTGAAGGAACTTGGGATGGGAGGCATGACGCTGAAGGCAGCTCGGTTGCACTACCATGGTGTTTGCCGAGATGCTAGTAAGCAGGCGAAATTCGAAGCTGCAGTCGAAGAAAGGCGGGAGAAGCGTTGCATCGAGGAAATGCAGGAGGCGATGAAGGCAGGCGGGAGCTCCATTCCTACTGGCTCGGAGGAAGCTGAGGCGAAGGATGAAGGCCCCGAGAAGAAGAAGGCCAAGATAGTCGAGGCCCCGCCTAGCGCTGCAGTGGAGGATACTGCATTCGAGGAACTTTTTGGCGTTGGGCTTGGACTTGGGTTGGACGAGGATACGGCTGAGGCTACTGGCGAAGCTAGCGGATCTCATGAGGACGAAGCGATGGAGACTGCTGCCTAGACGAGGGATCAACGTAGTCTGCAATCACGATCGGTGGCGATGAGGACATTTCTTTGAAATGTCTGGAGGGCGGGTGTAACGGTTCGTAACATCACTAGTCACATGCTTTCCTTTTCCGTTTCATCACTGAAACATATACCATTGATACTCATCTTGTACACTCCTTTCCGTTCACTATGGGTAGAATCTAGACCCGACGACGATCGTTACTTTATTCCTATCTCTTGTTTCATACTTATAGTTATTCCTATCTCTAGGTATTTACTTACATGTGATTCTCCTTCTAGTATATAAGTAGTTTCGTAGATAGGTAAATACCAGGTTACACAATATAGAAGACCTATCATAGTTCTCTCGCGACTGAAAACTTAGCTTATCTCGAAAGTCTCAACAAACACTACTCTTACCTAAACTTCGTGTTAACGTCAGACGCGTAACTCCACGCCCCTGCGTTACACTACTAAGCAGGGGCATGGAAGGTTGAAAGAAAAGAGTGCATTTCAAAGAGGGGTACGCACCTAAAAGGTCTGCCCAGCAAGGAAGAGTCGACAGGCATCCGCTTCAATGGGGTAGTGGTAACCTGGGTCGTTGCCATCTCTGAATGACGAATGAGTTGTTTATCGACCCGCCGGGGGTTCGATTCCCTATTGATGCATACTCCAGGGATAACTTTCCTATTCTGATATCGTACGCTAATTATTTTTCACGACCAGGGTCCAAGTCCGCATGGGGTCTGGGCTGAGCGTGTTGGTAGCAATCTCGAGGTGTACGCATAAGGAGAAGGTTCATCAATGTACGGTCCTGGATGGATGGGGTACAGGGATCGAGGGAAAAAGAAAGGGTCCGCGGAAGTAAAGAGCGAAAGCGGGATATATCAAGTGCGAGCTATATTGTGCATAACCTGAGGCTACGACACAGTATAAGAATAATTTCTATAGGATCAGGGATGAGAGACATCTCCCTGACGATTGGACATGGACGGCCGGGGTTTTAGTGGGTATGGCATCTTAGATCGTTGAAGGTGGAGATTGGAAGGTGGTATATATGTCTTAGGTCTATGTGGGAGAGATGTAGGAAGGAAGAGAGGAAGATGATATGATCGCGGAGTGGGCAAGGCATTTCCTTGGGGTTATCACTTGATGCGGGTTTCTAGTTCTCCTGCATACTTCACGCGGACTGAAGGGGGCGACAATGTCGAGATTACTCTACCTAGTTGCTAAGTAGAGTACTCCTGAAGTCAATACAACGCGTCCACCGAAAAAAAAAAGGATAATTTTTATGCCACGTTTGCCCACCTCATGGTTCGAGGCCCTGAAAGAAAAGAGACGAGTGGTGCTGGGCCTTGGGGGTTAAAAGTCATGTGAACCAGACAGGAGGAAGCAAACCAAAAAGAAAAAGCGGCGCCTCGTAATTAAGGGTGGTGGTGGTAGCGAGCAAAGAGGAGGGAAATGAACCGTGCTCGCACTGCCGTTGGCTGCGTTCAAGTGGAGCCTGGGTCCTCGGGATAGGTGATCTCACTCGTGGGCGGGACTTGATCTGTACTGAATTTATCCCATGGAAGAAAAAGGTACGTGGGCGGTTGAAGAAACTGGTAGGACAGGGTTGGGGCTGCGGTAACAGAGAAATAGAATGTGCACGTGCCTTGTACCGTCTCTTCCAAGCTCCCAAGGGCAAACCGTCTCTCCAGATTTTCCAATTCCAGTTCCGTGGTTGCGAGTGCATGTGTAAAAGGTCTGATCGTATCTGATCGAGGGAGATGAGTCCCATATAAAGTCATCTCTAAATAGAACTTGCACCCCTCAGGCTGGCTCACTCCACCCTCCGATCAGGTATTCCTCGGTTTTGATTTGAGAAAAGATCCCGAGATGGTGTGTGCTTCTAGGAAACCAATGAATGATCCTGGGTCTTGGGTTGGATGTACTCGTTCTGGTGGGGCGTGGGATGAGGATCGACACCACGAGGAAGGTTCTATCCTGGAGTCAGTCTCCCTCCTCATTGAGAGCGCCAGAAGCTGAGTCAGAAGCTGGATCGTTGAGACGTTTGACTCCACGCAAATGACGTCTGATCGGCCAATCTTTCAGACCCAGATTGGACCTGTGAAAGTAGAGAAGCTCGTGACATCAAAGGAACTGGTAGAGTTGAGTTGGGGCTGCGGTAGCAGGGAAGTAGAGCGTGCACGTACCTTGTACCGTCTCGGAACATCTGTCGCTCGTGGAGATACAAGAACAAGGTCGAGGAGCACTCGTGTAAAAGGTCTGGTCAGAAAGGAAGAGACAACATCCCGCATTCGACCCGCCGGGGGTTCGATTCTCCGTTGATGCATGTTGTGAATCTGTTCATTTTTGTTAAATGATATCCAAAAACGTCCTCGAGAGTCGAAAATGATTCATAGGTGGTATATTCTTTTATTACTATTTACAGCATGGATGGAGCACTAAACAGCAGGATCCCGCTCAGACTTGAGGGTTGGTATACGGATCCAGCAAGCACCAAGCTGTCTAGGACCTACGTTCGGTGGTGCATTCTGAGAACTGTTTGGAAAAGTTAGAGGCACAGTAGCAAGATCGGTCTGGATGAATAAGACCTTCCTGAGCATTATATCCAGACGCTACTACACGATATCCACACCCCTTGCCTAATTGCCCTCGTCTCTAGAATCCTGAACACCCTGAGCTCCTTAATCTCGTTCTTGAGGGGGACTTGATCTGCTTCCGTTATATCCTAAGGCAGGATCGACGCCACGAGAAAGGTCCCACGGAAGCAAACCAGACCCGTCCGACCAATACCGCCGCTTTTCAATTTTCCGCTCTGTATGTCGTCCCTCTGAGTGTACTCTGATAAGCAACCTCGTTCGTGAGCGGGTCCTGTGGAAGCAGAAAGTACGTGAGCCGCGGGCGAGAGGAACAAATACTAACAGAGGATCCGACAGGAGGGCTGGGTGACAGGAAGATATACTGTGCGGGCACCACAGCCTGGACAGTGTTTTGGAACGACTGTGAGTTGTCAGAGGGTCCCATTCCCGAAGACGAAGCAGCTCGGGCTCTGGAAAGGGTGCTGCTCCGTCGGGGCAGTATTTACTATTTAGATCGGTAGTGCGGTCGACTCGTGAGTGGACGCTCGAAAAGTTTCCCTGCATCAAAACAGCTCGGGCATCTGGGACCAGTAGGCACATCAATCGGGTAGCGTTGATCTGTGTTTGCTATCGCAGTGATAATTTATCGACCCGCCGGGGGTTCGATTCCCTCTTGATGCATACTCCAAGGATAACTTTCTTATTCTGATATCGTACGATAATTATTTTTCACGACCAGGGACCCAAGGTCGAGGGTTTTCAAGTCGGCATTCGAGTTTTGAGTACGTTGAGTATCAAGCGCAAGCTATATTGTGCATAACCTGGGGCTACGACAAAGTATAAGGATAATTTCTATGCGGCGTTCGCCTACCCCGTGGTTCGAGGCCTCGAAAGAAAAGAGACTACGAGCGATGCTAGACATGGGGGGGGGGGTCTCGGAATTGAAAGTCGTGTGTGTATCACCGAACCAGAGGGGAGGAATAAAACGAAAGAAAAAAAGCGGTCGAGCGGTTTGTGTTCAAGGTGAGCCTCGTCTCGTGGGTTCCGGGCTGCGCTAGCACTCTCCAATTCGATCTCGAGGGGTATGCATAAGGAGAGGGTTCATCGTACGGTCCTGGTTGTTGGGTTGTGGATGAACGGGATCGACGCGACGAGAAAGGGTCCGCGGAAGCAAAGAGGAGGGAAATGGTCCGTGCGCGCACCGCCATTGGCTTCGTTCAAGTGGAGCCTGGGTCCTCGGTATAGGCGATCTCGTTCGTGGGCGGGACTTGAGCTTGATCTCCGGAATCTGCTAGATTGATCCCATGGAAGCAAAAGGTACGGTTGAAGGAACTGGCAGGACAGGGTTGGGCCTGCGGTAACAGGGAAGTAGAGCGTGCACGTACCTGGTACTGTCTCCTACAAGGGCTAACATTCTCTCCAGGCCTGACCGCCAGTCCCGTCTGTCGCTCCTGGAAATGCAAGAACAAGGTCGACCGTGGAGGAGCTTGATCTGTAGGAGAGTCCCAAGGTGTACGTGTCCGGCTGAAGGAGCTGGGTTGGGCATGCGGTAACAGGGAAATAAAGCGTCACCACGTACCTTGTGCCGTCTCTTAAAGGGCTAAACTTTTCTCCAGGCCCTGACTAGTGATCCCGTCATATATAAGAACAAGGTCGAGGAGTACTCGTAGAAAGGGAGACACCAAGTCACGCATTCGCTCAAGTCACACAAGTGATGATATTCCTCTTCTGTCCATATATCATAAGTAGTAATAAGTAAATGCGGGTTGTACAGCATGGATGGAAAGCTAAAGAACAAGACAGCAAAATCGGCAACATAAACACACTACTGGAAGCCCGGGATCTGCTCGCCCTTTCTGAGGGGTAGACGGCTGTCCGTCCACCCTTAGGCTGTCAGATACACGCCCCACGCCGCATGCAGGACCTCCCACAGCCCATTATCATCGACCCCCAATGCCACGGTATTCTTCCACAGGCCATGGATCGTCGACAGCCCGCCCAGGAGCTTGTGCTGCGTGAAATCCAGATATCATCATTGAAACTCGTGAAGGACCAATCGAGCGGGGTCTCCTTCAGCCCTTGAGATACCGAATGATAGGTCCGGGGTGGAGTGGGAAGCTACGATAAAATACGAGCCTAACACGAATTGTCCAAAATGCCAGTTTTGTGTATTAGGCCTTGCAGCTCGGAATGTCTGCCAGTCATAGCATATCATCGTTTATGCACTCATGGACATGGTTCTGAAATCACCTAGCCAAGGAATGAGCGCTAACGGTGGGAGGTATTGTTCAAAAGCTAGAGGGCCGACCTGAGTAACAGTCCTTCGCGAACAAGAAGTTATCCAGGTGGCTTCTCATAACGGGTCTGCATAGTATGAACAAGGGGTCAAAAATCAGGTGTGATGTCGAGACCTGAGAAATGCAGGCGCACGCGCAACGACTACAAAACACAAAAACGCTGGAGTGGCAGGCCAAAGAAGAACGTTCGCTGCACAGCTCAAGGCATCAGCGCTTCAACGAATCAACCAGTGACTGGGGTCCTCGACAAAAACGGAGCCGAGAATACGACAGAATTTGATGTCACCAGTGCGATAGGCTAGGCTTAATTACTCTCAAAAGAGTAGCTGGGGTCGCGGCCGCACTTATCATGGCACAAGGACCATAGGAGAAGCATGTGTTTAATTCGGAAAAAGACAACTCACAAGCTATCATTTCAATATACACCTCATTAAGGCATAAAGGGTTCCGGCGAGGTGTACTTGTCCTTGTTCAAAATTTGGCAATCGTGGCTGTAAATGGAAAAAGAACATGTTCTGGCCGAGAAAATGTGCTTGAACGGTCTGTGACATGGTAAAATTGAAAACGGCTGCCAATCGGCTGGAGCGTTTGAGGGGCGAGCGAACAAAGTGCACCGTGAAATCTGTTTCTGCCATGGTAGTGTAAAGTCCACCTAAAAATGATACGGTACAAGCGAGTACCTCTATATGCTGAGCTGAAGACCCGTACCAGAGAATTCTCACCAAATACTGGTTTCGACACGAGGTGTATGTTGAGCAAGACGGGATGCATCTTGACATGTGATCG